GGTTTTAACAAATTCCCTTAATTTCTGCTTATCTGGAAATCTCCTAATTTCACCATCATATTTGAGGGACAATTTTGCTGGGTATATAATTCTTGGTTGGAAATTTTTCTCTTTCAGGACTTCATATATAATATCCCATTGTCTTCTCGCCTGCATTGTTTCTGCCGAGGAATCTGAGCTTAGTCTTATTGGTTGCCCCTTGTGGGTAACTTTTAGTTTTTCCCATGCTGATTTCAGGATTCTTCCTTTGTCTCTGGTGTTGGTGAGTTTGATGATGATATGTCTTGGTGATTTTCTTTTGGGGTCTAACCTGTTTGGGGTTCATTGGACTTCTTGAATGGATATATTCTCATCTTTCATCACACCAGGAAAATTCTCTTCCAACAAATCTTGGACAGTTTTCTCAGTGGTTTTATTTAGCTCTTACTATTCTGGAATTCCTATGACACGCAGGTTATTCCTTTTGATTTCATTTTGTTTTGATCTTTTTTTCTGATTGATCCCTTTCTAAAGAAGTATTGAGGTATTTTCCTTCAGTCTCACTAATTCTGTCTTCCATTGATTCAATTCTACTCCTTTGCCCTTTCAATGTGTTATCTATTTCTGAAAATTTAGTATTAATCTTCTGGATTTCTGTGTGTAGATTTTGTATCATTTCTAAATTTTCATTTATTTTGTCATTTTCTGGTATTGTCTTTTAAAATTGTTCTAGAGTCTTCTCTATATTTTCCTCAGTTTGTCAGTGTTTTTCCTGATCTGTCTCTCAATTCATTGAAGATACCTAAATATAATTCTTTTGAATTCCTTATCAGAGAGTTCTAATGCTGCATCTTCTTCAGGGATGTGTTCTGGGTCTGTATACTTGTCCCTTGTTTCTCCTGCTTTATCTTGTTCTTTGTGTGGACTGTGATGTTCTGTTGTCTCTGAGGCATTGTGATGTTTTTGTGCTTATATTTAATTGGTGATTGTATGTTGGAGTGACTTGCCCATGATTTTTGTTTTCTTTGTATGTTATCTACATAAGCACAGTACTGTGCTGTGCTCCTCTATTCACTAGTTGGCAGCACTTATACACTCACCACCCATCTCCTTTCCTGTTGTTAGCCTCCCTGCCCTCCTTGGCAAATGGAGCCTATTCTTAGGCCCTGGAATCCAGATAAGTATGCTGTCACTTTAAAATCCAAAATGGCCATTGTTCACAAACATTCAAAATGGCTGTGCCCTCAGTCACTTTAAATATCAATATGGCCACCACTTGTAAACAATCAAAATGGCTACATCCTCTGGACCATCGAAAGTCCACAGCTCGAGTTGTCTCCCTCCTTGCTGTTTCCCTTCCTAGTCATAGGTCACCAGTGCAGTCATCCCTGCAGCCTTTGACAACCAGGGCTGATCTTTAGGTCAATTCTCAGGTCCCAACACCACTTGGAAATATTCAGGCTATTGGTACCTCAGAATAGCTGACAGTCCACAGCTCCAAAAATCTCTTTACTCAACTATTTTCATTCAGGTTTTTCCACTAGTTGGTGCCTAATCCACTTCTGTATACTTCCTTTCAAAGCTCAGGGCTCCAGGATTATCTTCTGTATTTCTGCCGTTTGGTTTCTCTTTTCCTTGTTGAAGTGGGTCTGTGTAACTTGTCGGTCTATTCCTCCATTTACAAGAAGTCTCTGTTTATGATTTTTTTAAATCACCATTTCTTTCTGCCTCTCACACTTCTTCCTGGGATTTTTTTTTTTTTCTCCTTGCAGTGTATCCTGTAGAATTTCCTTTAGTGAGTATTTGTTGCTGGTAAATGTTTTATCTCTTTTTGTCTGGAAATATTATTTTACTCTACTTCTCAAATGAGATCTTATTGGAGAATGCAGTTCTAGGTTGAGCATGATTTTTATCTTAGCATTTTGACCATTCTCTCTTTCTTCTGCTTCTTGTGTTGCTGTTGAGAAGTCCACTCTTGTTTCTTTGTAGGCAAGCTATTCTATTCTATGGCTGCTTTAAACATTTTTCTCTCTCCTGTGTGTTCTTATTTTTTTACTACCTGTATTTAGGCATAGATTACTTTTTACTTATCATATGTATTGTGCTTTGTGATTCAGGATACACTTTTCATCATTTCTGGAAAATCTATATCCCTTTGAATATTGCCTTTATCTAATTATCTCTAGTCTCTTTCTCTGCAATGTCAATTAATCATACATTGGATCTTCTCATGTTATCTTCAAAGTCTCATAGGTAGTTTTCCATTTTAAAAATATCTCTTTGTTTCTGTTTAATTTCTTTAGATCAGCATTTTAGTTCACATAAACCCAATAACCCAATAAAACTCATCTAATCTGCCATCTCACTCATCGTTCATTGAAAGTGGTTTTTCACTTCCAATGATTTTATGTTTTATTTTAGAAGCAGTAGTTGGTTCATTTTCAAACCTATTTTTTAAAATAGTATCTTGTTTTTTTCTCACATTTCTCATCCTATCTTTTAGTTATACAAATGTTTTAAACATTCTTATTAAAATTCTGTAATTAAGAGTTCCATAACCTGAAGTTATTGGATTATCTATTGCTGTTGTTTGTTATTTCCATTCCTTTTGGTTTAAATGGATGCATGTTCTTGTATTTGGGACTGTTAGCTCATGTCTGGAGTTCCTTTATTTGTGCTAGCTTTACAAAGCCCAAATTAAAGACTCATGCCTGTAGAAAATATGTGCCTACTGTGGTACTGAGTTCATTATAAACAGTGTCTCACTGAACCCTCATGACAACCTCATGAGTCAGGCACTGGTAAAGTACTCATTTACAGATGGGAAAACTGAGGTTTCTGAGTTGTATTGTTGCTCCAGGTGACATAGCTTGTAAAAGGGAAGGCTTCCTCCAGGCCCCTCTGACAATGCAGTACATTCTTTTAACCACTGCCCTTGCTGATGGTGATGTAGGTTGAACACCCAATTATGCAAACTCAACCTTTCAATTAGGGCAAAGGGGAAGAAGGCAAAAACTTTGAGACCAATGAGTATCTAAGACATCACTGGCTAGACCTACAAAAGCCAAGAAAAGGCCACATATAAGAAAATAGTAGGAAGAAACACCCTCCTGGTGTACCCTCCTTTATAGGGCTGGCTCCAGGTGCAAGTTTACCCCAACCTATGTGTCTATCCATCCTCCTACACCAGGCTGGAAGCTGCATGAGGCTGCAGATCTGCCTGTCATGTGCATAGCCATCTGTCCTGGGCCAGCATGGAACCTGGCAGGAGGAAGGGCTGGGGAAATATTGAACATGGTATCAGATGTAAAAGAAGTTCCTGAGGCCTTGCTCTTCTCGGTCCTCAAGGAAACCCATGCCAGGATCACCTACATCCAGGTGGTGATGGTGGTGATGGGAAGCTGGCTGAGGAGCCTATATGAGCCCATATGGGGCCATAGCTCAGACCTCTCCTGTGGCTATCCCCTTGCATCTTGGTGGCAAGAAGAAAAGCCTCAAAAATTGAGATACCCAACCTGGCTGGGCTTTCATCCCACCTATGCCTATTTTCATGTTGTCTCCCTGGTGGTGCCTCTGACCAGTGAGAGCTCTTTTGTGGGCATGGCTCAGTGTCCTCACACTTCCATGAAAAAAAGCAGCAAGTGTCCAATGCTGCAGTGCAGCAGGAGCTGCAGGGGCAGAGAATGCATTGGTAGCCTGAAGGGAGAAGGAAGGTGGGCACCAGGCTCAGGGCCACACTCTAAGGCCATCCTCCTGAGGACAGGGACTTCTTATGTTTCTCATTTCAGGCTCTGCCTCCTAACAGTGAGCTACCCCTTTCCACCTTGCATGGGGTGCTAATGATGATGTCCATGGAGAGAATCTAAAGTGATCAATTTATTAACCAGACACCAGTGGTTGTGTCCTGTTGGTTACCCTGTGGGAACCATGCAAGTCCTTGCTAATTAGACTGCAAAACTTGTTCCCATGGAGAGCAGAGCTGAAAGGGTTATGACATTTAGAGCACTGCTCTGCCAGTGTCTGGAGATGCTTTGCTGGCCACAGCTTCAGCAGCAGGTGTGGGTGCTACAGGTACCAGGTGTGCAGATGAGGGTGGTACAGGAGGTTGGCTGGCAGCAGCAGGAGGACTGGCAGGAGGGGGCCATGCACACAGTGGGCTTACAGCTTATGGGCACAGACAGTGTGGTCTTGCACACACACACAGCAGGCTTGTATACACATACTGTGGGTTTACAGCTCATAGCCACACAACGGGCTGTCTGGCAGGGACTGGACACGCAGCAGGCCACATCGCATGAGGAGGGTTGCCCACGGGCTGTGGGGCTGCATGGGAACTGGCAGCCACTGGAACAGCAGCTGGGGGTGCCACAGGGTGACTGGCAGGAGGTGGCTACACAACACATGGGCTGGCACAGCAAAGTCACACAGGACACTGGGCAGCAGCAGGAGCTTCTGCAGTAGGGAGGTGAGCAAGAGGTGGAGAGGATGCAGCACACAGACCTGGGGCAGGTCAACTGACTGCTGACTGCCTGAGGAGCAGAAAGTGTTGCACAGTTTGGGGTGTGTGGCTGAGAAGTGTATCAGAGGGGAGGTGAGGGCTGGTGTGGAGGCTCCTCTCCTGAGAGCCTTTATATATATATATCTCGGCCCATGGGTGTCCTGGCAACAGTTCTGCTATTTGTGCTATTGTTGCTTGGTTCTAATTCCTCATTCCTGTCAGGAACCCGTGGAGTCACTCCATAAGGAAATACCTCACGCAACGCACAGTGCCCATAAACAGGATGAGCTCAGGGCCCCTCACTGAGATTGGACTCTGCCCATTAGGACAAGGTTAAGGGGGAGAAAACCAATGGGGTGCCCTGTGGGTTACCACCAAGTGCATCTGTCTACCCATGACCACAAGTGTTCCGGGTGAGCATTTATCACTCCCATTCCACGTGCATCCCTGCATGTGTGTGTGTGTGTGTGTGTGTGTGAGGGATGGTGGTGGTGGTGGTGTTGCCATGACAGCTTAGGCCAAGTCAATTTCTGCCTGTGCCAGTCTTCCGTGCATGGCTGACATCATGGCCAGTTATGACAAGTACTCTGGTCTCAGAGGTGACCGGGTTCTGGGGAAGAGTGTGCTGATTCATAACCATGTTGTGCTATGCCCTGGCTGTGTGGTACATCCTGACTCTGGGAGCAATGACAAGGCATCCTCTGGTTTCAGATGGCAGACTCTTAAGCAGTGGGGATGTGGTTGGTGGAGTGAGCGTCAGGTAACCTCCCTAAAGGTGTTTCCTGGCCAGATGTGAGGAGGCCCAAGCCTATGAGGGCCTGGGGTGTTGCTTTCTGCCTCTTTTATCAATTGTGGATGTACGCTAGCTCTTTAGAAATAAAGCAATGAGAAGCACACATTGAGACCCTTGTCTGAATACAGAGATGCTGGATCAAGCTACTCCATGACAGACATTAGTTCCGCCTGGCCACAGGAAGGCCTGCATTGATATCAGCCCGGAACATTCTGGAACAGAAGTCACCAATGGCCACTGTGCTCACCTGGCCTACAGAATGACCTCATCAGTTACCCTTGAGGCTGAAGAAATGGTCAGGGCATAAGAGGATGGGTGTGGATGGAGCTGTCAGAGAACTGTTCCTTCTGGGGCAGTTTCAAGAATCTGCTCTTCAGTCTGCGTTGTTTCCTGTCTGAGGCAATTAAATTCTCTTCCATGTGAGGACAGTGCCTCCCTCTCCATTAGCTGTGGGGGGAGGGGATGCAGCACAAGTGTGTGAATCCCCTGGGTGCCCCCCCCCCCAACACCCAAGGTGTGTGGTGGAGAAGCCTGTTCAAGACTCCCATGATACAAAATTACTGACAAGGGCTGTGACAAGACACTATCTCCGTGTAACTAAATAAAACATGCCATTTACAGGAGCTGAAGCCAGCTCATTGCCAAGGCAGGCCTGAGGATTCCAGTGAGACTTCCCCAAAGGGCAGCGAGTGAGAGGAGGGCACCAAGGTCACAACCCACCCATTGCCATGACACCCATGCACAGGTTAGAGAGGTTGCCCTGTGATGCCCCAGGCCTATTCCTCTTCCTTGACACTCCCATCTCCACCTCTCAGTTACAGGAACTCAAAACCATGGGCAACACTAGCTGTTCCACCTGCTGCCCAGTACCCTGTGTGGCTCTGCTGTGCCAGTCTGTGTACGGTGAGGCTGCCTCTTGCCACCCAGCCTGTGGAACCACCAGCTGCTGCCCCTGTAGCTGCCAGTCTTCCTGTTGCCCTGTGGTCTGTGACCTAGCCTGCTGCATGCCCTGCCCCTGCCAGTCAGCCTGCTGTGTGCCTGTAAGCTGCCAGTCTGGTGTGTGCCTGTGCCCCTGCCCCATCCTTATCTGCCCACCTGTCACCTGTACCAGTCTTGGGTGCTGCTGAACATGTGGTAGAGCCTGGAGTGAAGCTGTGAGAGGCTGTTATTCTTGATCACTGTCACCTTCATAAATCCCTTTCACCAAAGCCAACCTACCACCTTGGATTCAGCCTCCTTTGCCCACCTGCCTTGTTGCTGTATTTTGGGGTGGACTCCTAGCACTCCTATGCCAGACCAACAGCATATCTGCCCTCATCTTTCATGCTATCAGGGCCTAGGGTTCCATGTCACAGCTCTATAGGGCTCCGCCTAACCAAACTACAACTGAACAGTTAATAAAATGAAGTGATAGACCCATGTTGATTGTTATCTGGCTGTCTACCTTTCGTCACTCCCCTGGAGCCTCCTGTGTGCTCCCACACTCTCCCCTGGGCCACAGCTTGGGCCTAGTCACTGCTGATGGACATGCTTCATGTCCTCCTCTCTGTGAAGGTAGAGATAGGGTCTGGAGGTATTCCCTGCTCTCCAAATTCATCTTTCTCATGTCCTCAAGAGTGCTTCAGTGAGACTGGCCACCATCCTGTATCTGAGACTGTGCTTGGCTTGAGTACCACATGCAGGAATTCAGGTTCAAGGCCCAGGGGAGGGGTCTTATGTAATGATTATTAATATTCTTTTTTCTCAAAATTGTCCCAACTTTGGTGGTAAACTTCATCTAAGACCTCTGCTCTACCCCTTCCCCCTCACTGTCTGTGAGTGCCTATGAACCTGGCCAGTGGCAGCCCTCACGATGGTGTTCCACTTGCTTCCCTACATCTCTGGGGTCCACCCCCACATTTCACTTTATGTTCAGTCAATAAGGGGGTGCTCCATTCTTGTAGTTCACACAGGTACGTTACCAGAATGATAGAAATGCTAAATACAACAAGCTCAGCTATTTGACTTCACATCTTGGTACCCATGTTATACCAACACTTCACCTCCAGTTTACTGATGAGTAAGGAAGATCTGAAAGGAAAATGAATGGTGAGTTACCCTATCTCTCTCTTTCTTTCTGTGTCATTGTTTTTGGCGTAAGGGGTAATTTTTATATTTTCTTTCTTTTGCCTGTTTTGCATTTAATTTTATCTAGTTTGAGGTGCAAACTTAAATAATGGGGAACTTTCTTCTTTTTGAATATAAGCATTTAATGCTATGATTGTTCCTCTAAACACTGCTTTAGCTGTGCCATATATTGATATGCATTTGGATTCCATTCAGAATATTTTCTAATTCCTTTTGAATCATGATTTATTAAGAAGTGTTGATTAATTTTCAAATATATGGGGATTTCCAGCTTTCTTTTTGTTATAAATGTCTCATTTGATTTCATTGTTGTCAGAGAATATACCTTGTATTATTTCAATTCCTCTAAATTTGTTAAGGTTTATTTTATGGTGTAGGATATAGTCTATTTTGGTGAATGTTCCTTGTGCACGTGAAAAGAATGTGTGCTCTGTTGTTGGGTGGAATGTTCTGTAAATATCAAATCAGTCAATAATTAAGAATAATAATGTCAATAATATTATTCAGATCTATATTTTTACTGATTTTCTATTTGTTCTATTGATTACTGAGTAAAGGAAGTTCAATGATAATTGTGGATTTGTGTATTTTTCCTTTCAGTTCTGTCAGTTTTTGCTCTATGTATTTTGGAACTTTGCTGTTAGATGATGTTTAGTTTTCCTGGTGAATTGATTCTTTTATCATTTCTTGATCCCTTTATTTCTTTCTTTGAAATCTACTTTGATTTTAATTAATATAACTATTCCAACTTCCTTTGATTAATGTTTGTATGGCGTATTTTTACATCTGTTTATTTTAATCTATGTTTTTGTACTTAAAGTGGGGTTTCTGATAGATAGCATATAGTTGGGTCTTACTTTTGTATCTAATTTGAAAATCTCTATCCTTTAATGTTGATCTTTATACATTTTTCATTAAATATAAACCCACTCCTCATTTATTGAAATGTTTATGTTCCAAAGACTAGGTAGTTATGCTAAAATTGGTCTTATACAATAATGGAGGAAGAGCATACCAAGTTGGTGGATTGTATTGTTTAGCTCTTCTGCATCTTTGTTGAGTTTCTTTCCAATTGTTTTATCTTTCATTGAAAGTGATGTATTAAAGACTCCCACTATGACTGTGGAGTTATCTAATTTGCCTTTTCAACTCTTTTAAAGACTGATTTACATATTTTGGGACTCTTTCATTGGGTCCATAGATATTTATTATGGTTATATCTTCTTGTTCAATTGATCCTTTATTTAGTGTAATTATCAACAAGTATGAATTGATTGCTGTCATTTTGTTATGTGTTTTTTTATGGTGTTCCTAGTTTCTTTGTTCTGTATTATTTTTTGTGCTGAGCTCATTATGTTTATGAATCGTGTTATTTCCTTTGTTGCTGTTGTTTTAGTATTTGCTGAATATTTGTGCTTGTCCTCTTTTTTATTGTGATGTGAAGGTTTATCATTTTTCTTTGAGGTTACCCTGTGATTTA